CAATGTATCTTTGCTTGTAAGGAGTTTTATGAAGTTTCGAAATCCAATTAATATACGTATATAGGGTTGTTCAAATTCATTTTTACGGAAGAATATTAAAAATATTTAAAAAATATGATTTTGAATTTCGTTATAACGATTTTTAGAAACCCATTCTTTTATCTTGAAATCCTGTTTATTGTCGACTTATTGCTAATTTATCTTTTAAGGACGTTAAAGATTTGAATAGTAAACAATCTTGATGCTGACCGTATATTTGCACATATAAATCAAGTTTGTATTTTCGCACTTCAATGGGACACCGTATGAGTTTTCAAACACCTTTGTCAGAAGTAACTTTATACACTGTACGGTGTATGAAGAAAATGCAAATTTAAAAAATTCGACGCATATCAAATTTATATGAAATAGGTATAATCAAGGATTTATTGAATCCTTATTATGCAAGTGGATAGTATGCTTTCATCATAGATAGCTTTAAATTGCAATGCACATTCGCATCCTGTATTATATGCTATACGAACTCCTCTCTTGTACGCTTCTTTTGCTGTATCTTTAAAAAAAATATCTTCAATAAGTGTTTTTCATACAATCATCATTTCGATATGATTGGTCATCCCTACATTTTTTTTTTCAAAGTTGATCCTCAAATTTTGCGTAAAACAGTACATTTTTTGTCAACAGAAACAGGAGATAACCCATTCTTTTACCCACTTTTGAAATCCTGTTTATTGTCGACTTATTGCTAATTTATCTTTTAAGGACGTTAAAGATTTGAATAGTAAACAATCTTGATGCTGACCGTATATTTGCACATATAAATCAAGTTTGTATTTTCGCACTTGAAAATAGGGTTTTAAAGATTTTTCCGTATGAGTTTTCAAACACCTTTGTCAGAAGTAACTTTATACACTGTACGGTGTATGAAGAAAATGCAAATTTAAAAAATGTCCAGACGCATATCAAATTTATATGAAATAGGTATAATCAAGGATGAAGGAGGGGGTTTGAATCCTTATTATTGCAAGTGGATAGTATGCTTTCATTATAGATAGCTTTAAATTGCAATGCACATTCGCATCTTGTATTATATGCTATACGAACTCCTCTCTTGTACGCTTCTTTTGCTGTATCTTTAAAAAAATGTCTTCAATAAGTGCTTTTCATACAATCATCATTTCGATATGATTGGTCATCTCTACATTTTATTTTTCAAAGTTGATCCTCAAATTTTGCGTAAAACAGTACATTTTTTTGTCAACAGAAACATGGGACAATAACCCATCATGCCTTAACCCACTTTTACGAGAACATTTTTAAAAATGCCATTAATTTTTCAGAGAAATACTCCCCTTACGAAAACATTGCCCTTCAATGGTCACACCACCTTTTACTTTGTAGCAAGTTTTTTCAGTCTTTAAGAAATGTAAATGTGAAAATACTCAGAATTTTAATGCAAGGAATTCGAATGCCATTAATATCTTATTTCTTTAATAATATAAATTTTTTGCTGAGAAAGTTCCATTCAAAAGTATTTTTTTTGGACATAATCTCATAACTTTCAATTATAATTTTACAACTCTAAATACTGAATTCGCAACTTGAATACCATTGTCGAGAAGAAGATTTTAAAAGATTTTCCCTATTTATTCCTAAGTCAAACTTTGATCCCCAATTGTGACCCCAACCTACCCCTGGGGGTCATGATTTGAACAAACTTGAGTTATATATCTAAAGCTATAGGCATTTTGCAATCAATGTTTGCTCATCTTTCTATAATCAAAATATTATAACACTGTCCAACTTGTGCAAAACAGTTTTCGTTCAAAGACAAATAGACTTATCCAGCTTCTATCTCAACTGAATCAAACAACTTGAAGATATAAAATCTTTAAAACGTTTATTCATATATCTCCATCAAAAATAAAAATACATGCTAATTATTACTTCTGATATTAGTAAAACAAGTTAAAAGCACTAAAGTAATAGAAAATGAACAGCTGTAATATATGTAAAACATAAATATTGAAAAGTCACCAGTTAAATTCAAACAATACGAAATATTACAGAGAGTAAAACATATAATAAAAACTATATTAAATGTACGGGTATTTCTCATTATTATGCATATTCAGTATATTATCACGAAGATTAAAAAAAAAGATTGTACGCCGTTTGAAAAGTTTTTCTTTAAAAAATGGAATATCGTAATTCTTATAAGTTTAAGGAACATTTCATACACGTTAGTTCCTTATTCTTTCAATGGTATATACTGCCACGTCACATAATTTTGTCAACTTTCAAGAAGTGCGCATTACGATTGTGTTGAAATGCTCCAGAATAAAAATGATCTTGCTAAAATGAATTGCGTTATTTCAATGATTATGTGTAAAATATATGTATTTGGGTATTCTCAGTCATTTTCCTTAGAATTTCTAGCTGTCCTTCCGCCGTGAAGCAATCACATTCCTTCGTTTAAAGAATTCAAACTCGAATATTGGAAAATCCTTCGTTGTCTATTCCACGTTTCCCATCCTACAAAAAAGATAAATTAGAATCTTGGTTACCAAAACCTATCAATAAGACACGTATGTATGAATGCATTTTTATGTATTCGTAGCATTAATTTTTATTTCATTTAGTATACCTTTGTTAATAAGTAAACAATACATTCACATACAAAACACCTACAAATAAGCCTTATGTTAGAACGGGTAATATAATTCTACAGAATTTTAATATTTTAAGCAATTTTATTGTTCTGTAAATGGAGACCATTTAGAATGACATGTTGCATTTGCATACTAATTTTGATTAAACTAAACAAATTTAATACGTATTGTAGAAATCTACCAGTTAATTATATAATCAAAAACCTGTCATTAATTCTTTACTTTTTTCTTATACATTCCTGAATAAACATAGCTATACCGTACTATACCCAAAATAATTCTTTTTAAAAATATTTTTATTCTTTTCATTTCATTTTGAAATATTAGACACTCATCATTCAAAAGAAAACGGAAAACATGTAGAAAATGGCATCAAAGCAACATTAACTTCAATTAATAGATGTTAGAGATCTATTGTGTTTTAGTAATGCCAAAATACATGTACGTATCAATAAAGACTGCACTATGTCTCCTGAAAAATCAGACAAATGTCATCCATATACCAAACAGACAGACAGACAGACAATGGTCAGCACAATTAAATGAACAGATTTTAATAATTCGATAAAAAATAGTCTGTACTTGAACATGAAAAGCCATGCAATATAAACATCTATTAAGTCTGTTGGCATGCTGAGAAGTATTCATATATTTACGAGGGAGGATTTAATTCCACACTTGAATCCATAAAGGTCCTTCGTTGCTGCGAATGTCATCCTACTATTAGGGGAGATAAGCAAAACATATCAGGGCTTTTCATGTACAAATAGGCAATACAGATCTACATGCCTATTCTTGGCCATTGATTCAACTGTTCTGATTAAGCAACGTTTAATCTAAACTTTTAAACAAAATCGTGCATAATGATTCAACTAAATATGTGCTTAAGGTTCATTGTTACTCTGATAAGAGAAATAATTCTTAATGGCATAAATATCTATTATTCCTTTATTGATTTGCCAAGTTGGTGTCTTTTTTTTGTCCAATTTTGCCCCGCAAGCTATGCTATAATAGTTCGTATTTTACGTATATAATTGGAAAATCATTAAGGTTCAAGCAACATTTTATATCAGTGAGCAGAGGGTTTGTGAACCGTAAACGTGTTGTAGACTAGATAAAAAAAGAAAAACATTTTATTCAGTTACAAGTTACTCAATTATAATTCATTATTTCAAGTATCGTAAATTGCCTTAAGCTTGTTGGTTTGGTTGATATTAAGTAATCCTTTAATATGAAGATTACAATGATTATGTTGAGCTCCTTCCCCTCTACCAGTATTTAAGTTTAATCAAGCATTATACAAGTTACTGAAGTGAAGATGAAAACTCTAAAATGATAGTTTTTAGCGAATATATGGTATATGTATACATATATATACTCAGAAACACTCAAGAAAATGCTGAACTAGATGGTGGAAAAAAAATCTTTGTGTGGAAATGAAGAATCTAACAGGTTAAGCTAAAACAAGTGCTAAAGTGAGAAATGAACAACAACATCCAAAACAAATGATATTCACCACCAGTTTAGAATTTTGAAGAATCTTCAATGTGTGGTACATAGCCGGTATTTTCTAACCCAGGCTTGTTATTTTCAACCTGAAAGTTGTGAAATCAAGTGGTTATCCAAGGTTTTGCCAACAGTAATAAATCCACAATAAATGGGCTGAAATATGATCATAGTTGTTTGTATTATAAATCAAAGTAAGTTATAGAAAACAAAAATACCCTTTAGTCTCATTTAAAACAGCCTAAAAGTTTTTTTTCCCATGTCTACGGGCAAACCATATACAATGATTTAATTAAAATTCGTTTGTACTGCAGAAACATTTTTTTTTGTATATTATACCTCCTTGGTTAACTTTATAATATCAGTATTAATCATGCAATAATATATTATACTGTATTATATATATGTACATGGATTTCTTTATATGATAAATATACATATTAACTATCTTTATCATGCAAGAATACATAATTCAAGCAAGATAACCGTTGTGTGGTATATGCATATTTGGAGATTTGGAATTAAATCATACCCATTAAAAATTATTGAATATAGATAAAAGAGTAGTTACTTGTTATAATAGGTATATATACCTGTAGTTGGATGTCTTTGGGGTTAACTGGTTCCAGTCCCCACGGATCTATGACGAAGTCTGTGGTGTACCTCTTAGTGTGATATTCGGCTTCCCGTCGGTGCCTCACCAAGGCTGGTCCCCACTCAATGGTAGGTCGTACTGCTTTCTTTATACTCTGTAAAAGAACGCAATCTTACAGATTAAAAAAAATAACAAGAGATGTTTATCAGCTATATGCAGATGCAGCAGTGCGACAATTGAGAGAACAGAAAGACGGAAAAAGTCTCGGCATGGAGGGGCATGGAGATAACAAAACAGATCTGTTTAAAATACTGGTTATGCATATACATGTACATTTGTGTTATGCGTAAAATTTGTTCTTAAAAAAGAATATATGGGAAACAGCTAGCCCACAAATTAGTCATACAGTATTTAAAATGACAAATAGATGTGGACAATGCCATTATCACGCTTTGACAATGAAGAAACGTATCCAACTATGATTCTCTGTAAGAGAACTGTTTTACAATGTGTATCAAAAAGCTAACGAAAGGAGGCATTCAAACATTACCTGTTATCAATAACTAGTATGTTTTGCAACTAAGAAAATATCCAGTCTTACCCTATTTAAATTCCCTAATAAAATGCTTAAAACAATCACGTGACAAATCATGCTACTCACCCCGCCTGACTTGATGATGACGTAAATGGCAGTACCGACAATACACACAATGGTGACTAGCGTCATTCCCCATCCCATCAAATCTGCGTACATGTCATATTCTTTACCGTTATCCATTCCAGTATAGTCCACCCACGAGAATACCATAATGATCTATAAAATATTTTTTCCCGCTCAGCATTTATGTCAGATTTTGTGTAAATATTGTTCAAAATTAGGTCATCATTATGATTTAGCTTAAAGTCTAAAATAAATATGAGTAAGAAAAAACCTACAATTTGTTTCGATTTAAAGGAACTTTGTTTTGAACATATTTTATTGAAAGAATCAATTGGATTAGAGACAAGTTCTTACAATTTACTATAGTTGACTAAAGGAATTTTGTTAATTAGATTTTTTTTCACATTATATATATTTTTGTGAATTAAATAAGAATGGTCGGTAGAACTTACGGCTGCCAGGAGTGGGGTAAGTAGACACCAACACAACATCCACCAGTATTTGAATATGATGAAGGGGAAACACAGACAGAAGTTGTTCCCCGTCATCAGCTTAATGTCGTCCAAGAACCGGAAGATGCCTATAATTTTAAAAATAGGTCAGGTATTTAGTATTAAATTAACTTTTTACAGAAAAGATAACTCATCGTATTTCCTAAACTTCTTTTATGGTATTTTTTCAGGTAACATCTTGATGTTTGCGTACGTGGATTCATACACTATATATGAATTTTTTACGAGTATATGTACAGAATTGTAGAAAATGGGATTTTATATACTACGCATGAAGTATTTACGACGAAAAAATTAGTAGCTTTCTACTCTGTACCTTTGAAATTTGATTGAAATAAAATATAAAAAATATCTTCCTGCTTACCGTAAACCCAACCAATGGAAATACACTCGAAAATGGCAATGAACAAAATACTCCATCCACCAGAATAGGTGTCCATGATTTCTAACATATAAAGACCTCCCTGACAAAAAACCAATGTATCTTGTTATTTATTCTTTTTTATCGGTTTCGAAAATTAAAATAAATCATTTAAATTCATCTCGTGTTCTTCACATGCAACTGGCAAAAATCAAAAATTATATTGAAAATTTGCTGCACTTAAAAATACTTAAAAATAGATAAATATTTTTGATTGAGCACAAAAAAAGATCGAAATGGATCTTGAAGCAGTACATCACATATAATGAATTATACTTACGTCTGTCGTTAACGTTAGTCCAAGGAGAAAGAAAAGGCAGCACGTAACCATGACGGTGAAGAGCTTGTATTTACGCAGTTTGGGGAATCGGTCCATTAAAGATGTGAGTACAGTTTCTACCAGGACAAACTAAAAAAAAATAGATCTCTCTACTGAGCACTGATTCCCAAAATTACAACTTTTGAAATTAAAAGTTTCGCTTAAATTTATTTTCACGTATCTCGCTACACAAACGCCGTGAATGGATCCTATATACTACGGCAATGTACTTTTGATTTAATTGTCATTCTTTGAACATTCTAATAATGGCTAAAAAGAAATTATTGTTGACAAAATTTTCACATCTAATAGTATTAAATGGTTATATTTTGCATGCGACGGTGGCATAAATTAGTTTACCCAAGGTATATCATAGGTGCTTTGGTTTGGGACGAGACCCCAGCCCCCCCCCCCCCCCCCCCCCCCCCAACCCCCGTGTTCCGTACCCAAAGGGTTCAAGGGTACTGAAAATTTGGGTTTTCAGTTGTAATAATACTTTGTGAATATGTTACAAAAATATTTTATTTTAAAAAAAAGTCAAAGAACCCTGGAGTACGAAAATCGAGGGAAGGGGGGGGGGTAGTTCACGTCCCTAAGCACCCCTAGGGTGTATGAATATTACATTTACAAAACATAAACTTGAAGAAAAAACTCTGGGAATACGTTTTGTTAACTGTTGCAAACAGAGCCCAGTTATTATACCTCGCTGTCTACTCCCAGTGTGATCAACATAACAAAGAAAAGAATGGCCCAGAGAGGAGACACGGGCATTTTGGTGACGGCGAATGGGTACACGACGAAGGTCAAAGACGGGCCACTTTTGGCGACATCAGCTACTGGCAGATCCATGTACTGGGCCAGGTAGCCCAAGTAGGAGAAGATGACGAAACCCGCAAAGACACTGGTCAGGCAATTACCAAACGCTACAATCAGGGTATCCCTGGAACAGAATATAATGATTTAAAAAATGCTGAAATTCATACTTTCATTGAAATGAGCGAGTCTCCATTTTTTAAACTCAATGAGGTAAAAAAAATAAGGAAGAAAAGGTAATAATTGCATTCTACGTGAATTACCTTATCAGATCGTTATGGAATTTGTTGTAACTGGCCAAGGCGATGAGACCTCCCCATGAAGCGGACAGGGAGAAAAAGATCTGCACGGCAGCATCTTTCCACACCTATTTCATATACAGATACAAAAAAATCATATTAGTAAAACAGATCGACAAATGTTACAATTACATATGTAGGTGACTGTTACAATGCATATCGTATGGCGGATTATTTTAGTGGGGTGTTAATTTTGGTGTTTAGATGATAGTCCGCTAGAATTTTAATCGCTAAAATAGTCAGTACTCTTATTAGTGCCCATCTGCAAATAGCTTAACCCTGCGCCCACTGAAATAAATTACGTCAAAATTATTGGCATACCTTAGAGCAGGCAAAATGCCAAATTTTACACCCGCCAAGAAAGCAATACGGTATCTCTTTTTTAAAAAATCTTAATGAATTTTTGGTTTAAACATAAAATCCTATTTTGAATACCACATATTTTCTGGACATTTGTCCATATATGGAGTACGTATTTACAACAAGAAATTGCATTTTTTTTATCACGAATTTAATATCAATCATTACCTGTGCATCACTTAATCTGGTCAGGTCGGGTGTGATGTAGAATTTGATTCCTTCCTCCATTCCTTCCAGCATTAAACCTCGGATCAGGAGGATAACCAACACCACGTAGGGGAATGTCGCCGTGAAGTACACCACCTACCGATGAAAGACGAAACAAAATAAGTACACCACCTTACACAGAGAGACGAAACAAAATAATCAATAATCATCTACCAACGAAAGACGAAACATTATGAAACAGAGTAATCATCTACAAACAAAAGACGAAACGGAATATGTAATCATCTACCAACGAAAGACGAAACAAAAAAAACTAAAGTAATCACCTACCACAGAGAGACGAAACAAATAAGTAATAATCAACTACAAACAAAAAACGAATCTACCAACGAAAGACGAAACAAAATATATGTTATCTTCTACCGACGAAAGACGAAACAAAATGAGTAATCATCTACCAATGAAAGACGAAACAAAAGACGAAACAAAATAAGTAATCATCCACCAACGAAAAATAAAACAAAGCAAGTATAATCAACTACCAACGAAAGACGAAACAAAATGAGTAATCATCTACCAACGAAAGACGAAACAAAAGACAAAACAAAATAAGTAATCATCTACCAACGAAAGACGAAACAAAATATGTTATCTTCTACCGACGAAAGACGAAACAAAATAAGTAATCATCTTCCAAAGAAAGACGAAACAAAATAAGTAATCATCTACCAAAGAAAGACGAAACAGAATAAGTACTAGTAATCTGATATGCAGATTTCCTAGATGTTCAGAACTATGTTTGGGTTTAAAAAATTAAAACGGAACAATTATGTGGCACCAATTGAAATTCTTTGGTTCTCTGTCAAACTACATGCCAAATATATGAAAATTTTCAAATATCTAAAACAAAACTGAATTCCGTATGTACAGCTTCTACCAAAATGTAAAGGCAAAAATGGACTTGAAGTGAATCATAGATAATAAAAATTAAACTACAAGATGGAATAGCGGGGCATGTAATTTTGAACGAACCTTTCCTGATGACTTGATACTCTTGCTGAGAGAGAGGATGACAACGATGAAAGCCAGAAGGTAGCACAGAGCAAGCTGCCAGCGGACTCCTCCGAGATCGTCATATCCGGTGCTATATCCAGATCCGGTTACATAGTTGCTGTCAAGAGGAAAATAAAAGAAAGGTGAATTTTGATTTATCTTTGATAACATTTTTTTTTTCATTTGGCCATCCTTAAAAAAATGTCTGGTTGTTTTTCCCGACCGGCCGGCTAAAAATTACTGTACTCGACTCAAAACTTTTTTGTCCCCCGCTTGAAAAGTGGGGGATATTAATTTGGGTTTGTCCGTCCGTCCGTCCGTCTTTCTGTCTGTCTGTAACGCTTTCGTTTCCACACGATATCTCGAGAAAAGCTTTTGCAATGAAATTTAGCATAGCAACTCCCTATGGACTAAAGAAGACCCCTATTGATTTTGAGGTCAAAAGGTCAAAGGTCAAGGTCATAAATAAGCAAATTCTGTCTGTTAAAAGACTTTCGTTTCCACATGATATCTCTAGAACCATTTGAGCTATTGCAATGAAATTTTACATAACAACTCCCTGTGGCCTAGTGAAGACCCCTATTGATTTTGAGGTCAAAAGGTCAAAGTTCAAGGTCGTAAATTTATACATTCTGTCTGTGTGTAACACTATCATTTCCGGGCGATATTTCAAGAAAATTTTGAGCTTATGCAATGTAATTTTATACCAAAACTCCCTAGGACGTCTCTCGCCCCTCTCAAAGTGCCCCGCCCCGTTTGTTTTATTAGTATTTATAGTATTACGTGTCGCTATTTTTAGCGCAGGGGCATGAGGAGAGTTATTGCGTATAAAACAGGTTCTCGGCGGACTTTATGTTCTTATTACATCTACTAGAACTGTTTAATAATGGCTAAATAAATCAAACACCATGGATTGTGTAAAATTTTGAGAATACCGAACATGAATATATACATGTATGTGACTTTGTTTCTGTATATACTTAACACCGGCTAAAGCGATTCCGTGGTCTAGTGGTTAAGTCACTCGCTTCACATGCGAGAGGTCCCGGGATCGAATCTCGGTCGAACCTGTCTTTTTTTTCTTTTTTCTTTTTTTTAAAATACTTTTCTTTTTTTTATTAAATGATAGTATTCAGCATGTGAAATGAAAAATTTATGAGGTTATAAAATCATCATTACAGTGTGATAAATATTCCATATAAAAAGAATCTTCTATACACATAATACAGAATAAGCAATCAAATCCTTATATGTATATTGACATACATGTATTTTATTTGCTTCAGTATACATGTATACATTTAATAATTCTACAAATTCAGTCAGGGGGATCCGACTTTTTCCCTAAGCGGGGGACACGAATTCTCTGAATTAGCTTGTTAAACTTCAAGCAGGAAAAATATGCATTCTAGAAACTAGATTTTTAACATTCATTATTTCTGTTAAAATTTTCAGACCCAGTTTTTGTATCCTGAGTCGGTAGGAGTAAACAAATATTATCTTAAAATTGGTCTTAGTTAAACTTTTATTGTTGGCTGACCTGTTCTGGCAAGTCAAAAAAACATCAAATGAGAGGTCTAAGTCACATTGTTATACCATTATAATTAGCTATCAATATATGTATTACTAATAAAAATTAAGTCCAACAAAAAATGTTTATTACATCGGTCTAACAATTTCACTGTTGACTGGCCAACATAAGAATTGTTAGACCGCAACGTCACAAGTAATTAATCATCGTTCAATATCGGCTACACGGAAATAGCCGAAGTTAAGAGCTGCAAGAGTTGTTGCTACCAGCAAGGTAAGGAAGAAGGGAAGAGTATGTTTTGGGATAAATAATTTTTGTGATATGATACATATAATTAATTTTTTTCTTTCTCAGCTATTGTTTTATATTTACTGATTAAGTCATGATTTTCCATATAAAGTAATTAATAATATGATGTGTATTGATTAAATCTTAAGAGAGCACTGAAGGGTATAACAAAACAGTTATAGACTGGGATTCGGGCAACATTGATTTGTTGGACCTAAAGGTGAAAATGTTGCCCTTGGCCTGCGGCCTCGGACAACATTTTCACCTTCAGGTGCAATAAATCATATGTTGCCCTCATACCCAGTCAATATCTGTATATTATGCTCACCTGAACTAAGTGTACGTTAAATATGCATGATTTTAATCCCACATTTAAGAAAAAATAATAAGAGAGACAGATGACAGTATATAAAATAAATTATTATTATATGGTCAACTTTAAAAAGGTTTGAAAACCATTTCATTTAGAAGCTGAATGGAAGACGGACCCAAATGCAGAAGGTATTTCAATTTGCTTTTTTGATGAGATAAGGACCCACAAAAGAAAGACTACCATGTAGTATTATAATGTCATCAACTTCCACTTTTTAGGAAGTACCATTCCTATTAATTAATCACATGCTGGTGAAGTTTTTTGTTTCAAATTCATTTTCATCCAATCTTGACGTATTATTTTTTCATACTTATACATATTCAGAATTCGGATATAGTTTGGGATGGTTATAAAAGACACTGTATCTGAAATACAAGTAGGATAGTCTATTATTTTTACATGGTGTCATCGTAATGTATGGAAATAACAGGGACTTACTCGAAGTATTCCTGAGAGGGAAGTGTCCTTGGAAAGTAGTTTTTGGCCAGTTCGGGGACAAGGTAAGCACGAACCCCCTCCTTTTTGTTCAGAAGTCCAGGCTCATAGCAGATGCCCTGTGTTTCATTGGCTACCCATGTTTTGCCCCATCTGTTGTTCCCATTGCACTTTTCAAATGTTTTGTTCAAGATCTTGACATTGTCATAGCATACTGTAAAATTCAAATACCTGTATTTTTTCAGTAAAAGAAAATTTGTATAAAAAAATTCATGTAAATAACATTTTTGGACTTTTTTCTTTTTTGGTTCTTAAGAATTTTCAATCTTTTTAAGCACAAAGTATTGAGGAAGATCCCCCCACTTTTAGCTGAACATAAACTTTAGCTGATGATTCAGTATGAAAATCTCAATAAAAGGCTGCCCCAAACTTTTTCTTGTAGTATTAATGATCAAATCCACCCATGTTTATCATCTTCGCTAGCCAAGGGTTTTCGGTCCGCAGCGTTTATGGGGAGCGCTGCGGACCGCAAAACCCTTGGCTAGCGAAGATGATGTTTATATATATTAATTTTTTATCCCCCCTTTTATTTATTTTTTTTTTTTTTAGAGTTTTCCTTCTTAGCCAGTCAAACAGTTTCAACAGTGAATTAATATTGTAGTTATGATTTTCACTATTGACCAAAAATGATTCGATTTAAATTTTTTTCGTTCTTACGATTTGTACTCCAATCCCCACATGATTGCCATGGTAAGTCGCTGGTGAAGGAACCAAAGAGGTAGAAGAATGCCCAGGCGATAATCATATTGTAGTAAATGGCCACCAGGGCTGATACAATAAACATTCCATAGCCAATTCCTACAAAGAAATATTAATGTCGTTTCATGTAAGCAATTACATTAATTATTTCATATATTAGGTATTTACGTGTCCTATAAAATTTTGAAATGCAGTGAACCTGTTGAAATTAAAAGTATAAACTTTTTGAGCTGCTTTAATATAAATATATTGAATGATCTTAAAGGTGTTGGAAATGTAGATGTATTATATATACATGTACCTGTAAATATCGGAGAAAATTTCCAGCAGGTGAATGGTCCAGAGCTAGAGTACTGTCCAATGGCTAGCTCTAATAAGAATATAGGGATTCCAAGCAATGCCAGGGCGATACAATAAGGAATGAAAAACGCCCCTAAAACAGAAAGAAACCTTGAGATATAATTAAGTTAATAATTATCAATATCATTTATAGCAATAACTGTCATACATGAATTATTTCGGTGCCCATTTTATTTTTATATCGGTCGTTCAGGTCTCGTCGGTCAATATTCTTTCTAAAATTCATCGGTACATGTATTTCAATGTAATAAAATATATCTATTGCGCATGCTCGTAAGCTTCTTCCATTTTTTTTTTCAAACCCACCTCCTCCATTTCTGTAACAAAGATAGGGAAATCTCCAGACGTTTCCTAGACCCACGGCGTAACCCAGACAGGAGAGCAAGAAGTCGAGTTTGGATGACCAGTTTCCTCTCTCGATATTTTCGTCCCCAGAGTCCATCGATTCTTCCTCTGCTAATTTCTGAAAGAAAGAAATTTGATAATTAATGATGATAATTATGAATAAATTTAGCTATTGCCAAATATGCAAATTTATTTAATGTTAAGGTATGATTGTAAATTCTGATATAATCCGTCTACCTTTTGACTATTGTATAGATCCAGTAAAAGTGGAAAAGGAACTACAGGGTTAATGAACTTCATGGTAAATGAAAATGCAATTTCCAAAGAGGACGATGCGATAAAGGAAGTTAGTTTCATGAACATTTGGATTGTTTTAAAATTTCATGCAACAACATTGCGATCTGAGGCCGGAATTAAAAATATCTTTGTTTCCCCTAACCCGACCCTAAATTCTCAAGTTGGGTCGGTAGGTAGGTAAACAATTTTATTTTCTGACAGCAGCTTTGAAAATACATTCTAAAATTTAATGGAAAATTACCTTTATAAATAAGAAAAATACAAAAGAAAGCGATTTGTGAACAAAATGCTAAGTATCGTACATATGCCGTTTAAAAACAAAATTAATTATTAATTAATTCACAACTGTTGAACTTGTGAAATATCTCACGCCATTACACTTATATACAGTAAATTGAATAAAATAGACAAGATTGTCAAATACGAAACCAGACATACGAGTATATGTATTCAAACCTTCCATCAGCCTTCAGAGCTTATAGACGATCAATGTACTTTTTTGAGGGCCATGAGATTTGCAGTGGTTCTGAAGCATTTTGCTTTGGAGTTAAGAAGTAAGTGGCTAATTTTAAATCGCATGTTCAAATCCCAATGAGTAACATTGAAAACGGTCCTTCAAAGGGGACCATAAAAACTTATGTCCAGTGTCGCAGAAGATGCTGGCTCAAAAAAAGATCCCCCACAAAAAAAGTGCTGAATACGTCTAAATTTGGAGCAATGGGAAATGTCATCCAAACAAATCTCGAAGGGAATAAAAGCGAAGAAACAACCAATCTTCAAAGGCCTAATTAAAGAAAAATACACTGAACGTCTCAGGAAGCTGAATCATGATTTCAAAACTATTTGGAAATAGTATGTTAACAATATTTAATTGAACCAAACCGAATCTACAAATGATAAAAATGCTATATACAATGTCATAGTCACGAAGTTTAACCACTAAATAAAGGCAGGAAGAATAAAGAAAGGATATCTGAATTATATTAATCAGGAGGAATATGCAGACATATTTACAACTCCTATGGTTCCATAATGGCATATAGTAAACATAGGGACATAGATGAACTGGTTATTAGATCAAAACTCAAATTAGATAAAATGCTGTGAAATTGAATGATGTGTTCACTAGGTGTGCCCCTCATCTACTCATGAGGTCGTCCTTACCATGTATTACGTACTTTAAATTCAAAGACAGGTCTGTTTGTTTATTGTTTAACGTCCCTTTCGAAAATTTATTCACTCACATGGAGACGCCAAAACGCCTCCGAAACACTCTTAATTAGTCATGGTAATTTTATTACCGAATTGTTTCAAGAGTGAAGAATTCCAATTCCAATTCCTGCTAAAAGTATAAGATTGAGACTCGCCATTGTTTCATGAAGAGCTAATGCCCTGTATTTATCTGGACGTCATTTTGTTTCCAACAAATGCTTGAAAATCACAGTAGAACAATGTCGGCCGTTCTGATAAAAAACTGATTTTGATGAAATTGTATTTAATAAAACTTGCTTAACAATAAAAAAAATTATTGAATCATCTTATTTAAAAAATCTTTTCAGTCGGTGCGATTTAATTGGGTCGGTCGCGTTAGGGGAAACAAGGGTATTTTTTATTTTGGCCTGACCAGGTTTAGATGAACTCTCTCTCTCTCTCTCTCTCTCTCTCTCTCTCTCTCTCTCTCTCTCTCTCTCTCAAATATGCCTACATATTCGTGTATACGCTACGAATGTACAGGTATATTGATTGCATATTGTTTCACGTTTCTCTCGAGAATTTTTCACTCATATAGAGATATGACGCCACCACTTTCCGGTGGAGAGCTATAAATTTTGTAAAATGACTCAGCACTTACGGCCATTGAGCAGTAAGGGATCTTTTTCGTGCCAGCACCGACTGCGACACGGGACCTCAGTTTATAGGGTCTCGTCCGAAGGGCCGGTTTCCATGTCCCACAGTGGGATTCGAACCCGCGACGTAAATAAGGATCAATGTCTTACTCCGCGTGTCTAGAGCAGATGCTCTAACCACTGTGCCACGCGGGCGACCAGGTACATGTATATTGAAGGCTTTGAATATGTTATTCAGCACAATGTTTGCCGAGTCATTTTAACCTTTTTATTTGTGTATTAGACCGTTAATTTATTTTACTTTGGAACTTAAAACCGTACATGTACCAGCATATATTTTCAATGATTTATCCTGTCCAGTGGAAAAGGAAACTGCGTCCAAAGATTCCTGTGAAAAGTGACGTGTTCAAAATTACATGTCAACATTTTTTTCTTTGGGCCATTATCTCGATATAATATTGTGTAATTCTTGGGAACGGTATCTCCATTTTGAAACACACAGGTAATTTAGAGACAGTGAGAAATTCATGCGTTGTGTCTTACTGAAAAACGAAGAAACATCGGTCTTCTTTCTTTTTTTGACCTTGATATTTTTGCCCGTGTAAAGAATTTAAAGCTGAACAATGGATGCTTAAGTATAGTATTACATTCAGTCCCGGTGTATTTAAGGTAGTCTGATCCTTGGGTTCATAAAATCAGCATTTAAGTAATTGAAAATTCTCACAAAATATTTCTGAAGTCACAAAAATGTATATTAAGCCACAGTATTTCTTCAAAGTTCATACTTTTAGTTAATAAAATTAAAATTTAATATGTTTTTTTTATTTTATAGAGATTATAATTAAATCCTTAATATTATATTCAAGAAAAGCGAATAAAAACATATACAGTTTCATTAGTTGAAAATTGATCGGCAAAAATATTATAGATTAAAAAAAAACTTTAAATATACAGGAATTCAGAGAAAATGTATGTTCATTAATACATTTTTGGTTTTAAGAGGCCTCGATTATTACGTATAATGTTATCATTACAAGACATCACGGATTACTTCTAAGTTCATATCAGGTCAAGAAACATTGGTATCTTAGGCTAGCTTCAAGAAAATCCAATTTCTCTAAAACTGTTTTATTTTTATCCCGTTTATTGGGTACAGTTTTCAACTTCTTACGAGACCCTTTCTAAGAATTCAAAGAACCTTGAATCGTATCATAGTAAGATGCATTAAGTAAAAAAGTTGTTGCATGCAGAGTTTTTTTTTCAAGCTTCATTTTGATTTTTAGCCTTTTTAATTATATGTATATTTTTAATTTTAAGAGTTATCATTCCTAGCTGAGGATCGTACTACCTTAAGTAGTAGAAAATGACGAATCATATTTTGAACAATTTAGGGGTAAAAATATACAGAAGGTGCTTAAATCCAAACACTACAGCAAAACCGAGGACACTCTTCTGCATTGTATATAACTGGTTTTGCGAAGAAGATAAAAACATTTTTCCTTTTATATTCTCAAATTAAAGGGGGTTCTCAAATTTAACATGGCGAATTAAAGTTCATATTATACAAGTAATGAAGAAATGTTTGTTGACTAAATTAAAATTCTGAAAAGGGAACCACTCGCAAGGCAACCTGTCTTCAAAAAGTTACGAAAGTATTTAAATATATAAACAGCTACGGTCATGGACACAAAATAAAATATGAATTAAATCCCCCAGAATAAAACCAAACATTACTATTATAGGGAGATTAAGGTTTTAATCTACATGTGGTTGGTTCAAGGCCGGATATGAAGCCTCGAGTCCCAGAGATGGAACCGTCCTGGTCAATTAATTAATTTAAATAGCGGATGAAAAACTGGAGAAGATTTTTCCTAGTGCTTTTAAAAACTGGTTTTTACTATGAGACCCTGTCTACTGGTATATTCAACAATGGATTTCTTTCCGTTCAATGACCGCCATAGTATGCAAAGTAATTTTATAGAACACAACGAAAAAATCAGATTTTAATTCTTTTGATGGTTGCATTTTAATGGAAATTGTGTAATGTTAATATTTTCCAGTTTGAAAATGTCTAAGCGCATGTAGACATTTTTTTCACAAATCATCGCAAATTCTTCCTTGTGCTTCGAAGGGTAAATGTGTGTATACATACATGTATTAATTTGGACAAGATTGGGATATGAACGTGTTAAAAAAATCTATGAAGGGTCTTTTCTAGAAATTGATGGGAAAACTGTTACGTATATGTCATAGGTGTCGAAACCGGGGAGGGGGGGTAGGAGGGCTTATCCCCCCCACTTTTTCTGCAAATGTATACATAATATAGGCAATGAAAATTAGAGTTTACCTTTTTTTTATTAATTTAGCCCCCCCCCCACTTTCATTTAGCCCCCCCTACACCGAGGTCTATGTATGTAAATCTTTCCAGTCCCATATAGAAAGACGGAACCAGAAGTGGTAGAGGATCAAGGGCTTTTTGGCGGACAAAACACAGTTTAGTCACTCATGAGAAATCAGGAAATGAAATATTCATAAAAGATACCGTGCAGAAACTCTGTCCTTGGGTCTCCCTAGGATGTAAGGTACATTAGCAAAAGGATGTAAATGGATTGAGGTGTGACAATCGTTTAAATGATCGTGCGGAGTATCCCTTCCCTTTTCATGTCGCCCCCCCCCTTTCACCAATTCGCCTGAACTATGTCTATCTGGAGCAATTTATATTTTACAGGCTCTCATTCACATGAATTTGTCAATGTGAAGTCTTTTGGTATCATTTTGATATCATGTTAGCGTCCACCCTAATGTATATCAATCAATGTAGTCTGAAAACCATGACATACAAATCGTAGGCTGTGATTTTCTCCGCTGCTTAATAATATGAATAAACTACAATTCAAAAATTTTCTATAGAAATTGCAGTGTAGGTGTAAAAAGAAACGCTACACTGATCATTATAGCATGGGAAAATGAATATGGATAATAAAAAAAAACGTAATGCTTATTATAATTAAAATCTTTAAATTCATTTTTTCTTAATCTTTTTTAACAATTTTATTGAATCTCCCTTAAATATCATGCAAAAAACATCACACGTGGATGAAATGAAACATTAAATACGCAAACTTTAAACAAGGATAAGTCAGGTGAGTCTCAATGACACGTTTTTCACGTGAAATGTCATTTCAAACTTATGGCGACTCTCAACTTGCAGGGACGTAGCAACAGGGGGGGGGGGGGGGGGGGCTCCCCCCCCCCACTTTTTTTGCCAACATACTTTTACTATTGAAAATGTTCATTGAAAGGCTGGTTGCCCCCCCCCCCCACTTTATACTAAAGTGAAGTAATACGAAGGATATTGAAAAGAATTGGCAGTGAGAAAAGTCTGCCTCTAACCCCCCCCCCCCCCCCCCCCCCTACGAAATAGGATTTTCGACTTTGGGCCAATTTCCCTTTTTTTTTGCTGGTCAACTTTTTCAGGCAAGTAAAAAAAAAATTTCTGTGGCTGCCCCCCCCCCCCCTTTCAAAATCGATGCTACGTGCCTGACTTTGTGTAGCACGTGCACGGATTTTACTTAAGGACGTTCGATCCTGAGATTTTGAGCGTAATTTGGTCAGGTCCTTTATTTATAAAATTCTGCATCATTCTTAAGTTCTAACATTAAATCTGTATTCTACAGTGCAAATTTAACTATATTTTATGAAAAAACAGCGATTAAATTCCATTCAAGAAGAATTGAGACTATAGGGACGAAAATGATCAGTTTTTCCATTTTATACTGTTAATTTTGTGGTTGCACAAAAAGCTGTTTTTTTGTAGTTAAATGTGTTATCTGAAGGAATTAAATTATTTCTTATGAATTCTATCAACAAAGCAAATTTTAATTTTAAAATTGACACTTTTTTAGTAATATCTGAAAATTTACATCATATACCCCCGGTTTTGATGTTTTTTTTTTCTAAATATTCAAGATAAATTCAGCCTATTTGCTTAAAATCAGAAAAAGTTTAAGACTTTAAAATAATTTCTCCCTTATTAAATTTTCAATGCCAGAAAAATCACTTTTTATTAGTGCAGAAAGGTCAAATAATTGATTATGCGAAGCAATTTAAAACTTTTTCTTAGTCACAATTTTTAAGTTTCTTTTTTAAACAAACTTAGCGTTCATTTTGTTTCATGCTTTAATTGGATAAAAATATTGGAGGGAAATCGTCAAAAATATAATTTTTAATTAAGACACAAATTTCAGTGCAAAAAGGTCATATTAAATGTACTCATTGACCCCCATTTTTTGATTTGAATTTTAATTAAGCTATGCATGTAGAAACTAAAAATATACTTGGCAAAAAAAGTTTAAGACTTTAAATATCAGGATCGAACGTCGTTAAGTGTGTGTGTATATATATATATATATATATATATATATATATATATATATATATATATATATATATATATATATATATATATATATATATATGCTAATATATGCTAAATACAACTCCGTTTTTGTTAAAACTTTACGGAAAAGCTGTACATTTCATAACTATTGCAATGTGTTATACAAAACTTACAATTTAGCCTCAAATATTATAAAGTTAACTGAATCATCTTAATATGCTAGTTTTTTTTTAATAGCAAACTGTTGATTTATTTACTATGGATTGAAGAATAGCATAACTGCTTTAAACTTACAGCTTTAATAAAAACGTTAAATTGGGGGGGGGGGGGATCTGGAAAAGAGCTGCTAATATGCCATGTGAGTGTTATCGAAATACTCTTTTAAATTTTTTTTTTTAGAAATTGTTTCTTTGTTTTGCTCGTTGTTTTTTTAATCTTGATACACAAAAATTATTATCTATTTTACTTTTATCTAATCACTTACCTTTCTATGCTGTTCTACGTCCGTGTCGTAGGCAGCCATGTTTTTTCGTTCTGTCGACACGCCCTTTAAATTTTACAACTTCTTTCCTTATATCAAGTCTTCAGCACCTTGCATAGGAAAGGTAAAAAAACAAGCTTTTCCTAATAGAACTTTAGCACACAGGAGTTTCCAACAAAAATCAAACCCAAAAAATGCAAAAGAGACTTACAATGAAGAAGAAATTGTCATCCAATTCAAAACTCTAAAGATGAAAACACCCGAACGAGCCAACGGCGTGTGACTTCTAAAGGTTTAAAGAATATATACCCTTTTTCAGCTCTTACGTGTTCCATTGAAAGTTAGCCAAGCATGCAATAATAACACGTTTAAACCCCCCTTTCATATGAAGGTTCACCTTATTGAACTGTTTTCATGTATTGGAATAGTTACATATACTTCACTTTGTTTACTTTTTTTTGCATTGAGTTTAAAAGGCTTAATTGTCTTTCAGAAATAATATTCTTGCACATGCATATTTTTCATTGAAATATATAAAAAAAAGTTTTTTATGACAAAAAAAAAATTGTTCAAGACGGGCATGCAGAATAACATGTGAACACAAAATGAAATTTTTGAAAATAATAATTCCCAGGAAGACATTTTTAAGAAACATTAATTGTTAAAATGGAGATCAAAGATTGAAAATGAGATTACTTAGTATAAAGTCCTTAGTGCAACAAAACAAATCAACGGAAAACTCTTTAAAAAAAATATACATACCTAAATAGTTTATTATTGTGTTATATTTCAGGTGCCTGTGCTTTTTTACTACAGAATTGTGTTCAAATAGTTTAATGCAGTCCATCTGACTTCGAAAAACAGTAACATTGGCACAGTGTCTCTTTAACTTTTAAGTTACAATTCAAATTTTGTGTCGTATTTTAACAAAACAAAACAAACCGATACACAATTCTTTCATTCATTCTCAGTAAGGTCGGATGTGTTAAATATATATAAATCCTATCTTGTTTAGATAATCGAGAACCCAGTTTCAAAATTATCGGAGCTAACAATGACATAATTTGGCAGACTGAGTGTCGACATATTTTATTCCTCTTTTGCGGATACATTTTCATAAAATTTTTGAAAAATCCATTTCTTTTAAAAACAAGAAAACCATCACTTTAAAATTAAGAGTCTAATTCCTGAATTTTCTTTGAGAAATGTCTTCATGTAAGTTCTAATTAAGTTGCCCATGTCTTTCTGAACAACTTCTTAATGAAAAACTTTACATACGTTTTAGCACCTGTACAGTGTAGCTTACATTCTGCATGCATGGCATCAGGTATACATTTTATGCAAATATAAATACTTGAAACTTTTATAATCGTAACCCTTAGATCTCTTTTTTTAATATTCAATGAGCGTAACAAACCGCTGGTTTTCTTTGTGACACTGAATGCATAATATTATCTTTAATACTATAAAAAATTTCTTTAAATAAGTAAATCGAAGTTTTATGCCCAAATAGTTTAGTAATATTTTATAGTGTCCGATACTCAAGTACTGATTCAAAAGAAAGACCAATTCGTAACGAAAGTACTGAAATACACTAATATAGATAAAGATTATTGAGAAAAAGCTTCCTTGGTGTATTGCATCCATGAGTGGGTGCATTGTAAATTATGCTTTATACCGTAGAAAGAAATGCGATATCCAGATCCCGAACTAAATACCAACACTTGCGTTCTTTGACCTTCTTGTCTGTAGAGGACATTCAGGAACACAAAGTGTAATATATCTGACGTTACAGGTATTCATTGTCATCGCGAGTATATTTATACCCCCCGCTTGAAAAGTGGGGGTATATAGTAATCGGTATTTTTAACTTGCATTTGGATACTCAGTACCTGTTTCTTTTTCGCTCCGAAAAAAAATGGTGAAATGTTTATCTTATAAAGTCTATCTGTTGTCTTAATTCGTTTTGCTCGCAGTGTTGCTTGTACACTTGTCAGCGAAACAATTTATCATTAAGTCTATTGTTGACAGATATTTTTATACAAATTGAAGTCGCAGTTATGATAAGGCTGTCCGAAGGCTTAAAACTCTTAAAAATATACATTTTAATTTGAGCTAGATTTTAATTTCAACATGTTATCCTTGTTTGAAATTGCAATCAACTTGAGATAACAGTTTAATCAGGTATTATTATAAAGCATTTCTGTGATGTCAGATGACTGTCTTGATCACGTGACGGACATTTTTGATATGCTTAAATGTTGCACAAAAATCGCATCGGCACAAGTGCATAACACAATTATTGTGCAAAGTTTGTTACATAGATCAATTCATCGTGATCCATGGTACTTAAAAGTGCTGGGGGCAGGTTTAATGTTTCCTTATAAAGAAAATATTTAACGATAAATTAAAATTACCAACGTTAGAAGGGGTATATTTTCCACTCTTTATCGCGATTTATACAAAAACGGATAAACTACATACGATCCCCCAGCAAAATTCAGTTTCAAGACATACTTCTCTTTTAGATTCACGTAAAATATCTTCAATTTATCCTTGTCTTTCACTTGTGCCAGTCCAATATAAACACGATTCATAAATTTTAACTCTGTCTACGGAAGTGTAAGGGGAGTGTTTCAAACATAATTTTTTGCTACTGCTTGAATATATGCATATCGGACAAGCAAAAGGAATAGAGTTATTTAAATATCAAATGTTAAACATTATTACAACACACAGAAGGTTAAAAAAAACAACCCTTAATATTGAATTAAACACAAATCCCCATAATAAATCTACATGCTGTGTAATAATTATGACACTTTCACCGTCATGTCAGCTCAAGTATGCAGTGACTTGACGTCATATTCTATTATGACGTCATATCTAGGTAGTTCAGAGAAGTTAGTACAGTTTGAACAGTTTAATATTGTACGGGCAGCCTTATCCTAGCTGCGGTGCTTTTATTTTTATTATGAATTGTCCACGGATTTCCCATTCACCGGTTTATGAAAAGGAGCACAAGCCGGGTATGACCGGTCGACAGGGGATGCTTACTCCTCTATGGCGCCTGATCCATCTTAGATGTATTTGCTCTGTTAGCGCCCCATTTGAAATGTTTTTTTAAACGGATTTGTTTACTTTGATTATTGTTAGTTCTCATCATGCATCATATTATACGTACTTATCCTGTGACCAAATAACAATACACTAAGTATATACATGTATTTCATCAGTCGTTAGCTTATATATGTGTTGAGGAGATGTGATATTGCTTTGAACAAAAGTCATTTGAACAATGTCAAGGTAAACTGAATTGCGAAGGTTAAATTAAAAGAATTTTCCAATAACTTTTTTTTTCAAATGATTAAGTACGGTGTTGCCTGTAATTTGAGTCATTTGAAGAGATTTCAATATTTTCTCTCATACTTTATGCTAATACTTGCCCTTCTTATTGTGTAATTGTATCGCACAAAAATGAACTGCTTTTGTAAATTTTAACGATATCAAAGTCATAGTAGTTAAACTTATTTAACTTTTAAATCGAGTGTCCGATTTCTCAGCATTGGGCACACTACAAAAGCTTACTCCACTATGAATGTTATTGTCAGTAATGTAATATGTTAAAGCATACCAGCACTATTTTCAGCGAGACTCCCTTTCCCCACTCTTCAGTACCCCCCGCCAAAAAAGGTTGGCTTTGCAATGAGCTTTCTCCAAAAAGTCTCACAATAAACCCATTCTTCGGGGATGGGGATGAGGCTCACTATAAAGCGAGGCTTCCCGCTTTGTCAACAAGCCCCTTAATTTTAATTCCGGAATGTCTCCAGTGATTAAAACAGGATATGTCATAAAACTTTTACATACTGATATTGTAAATCTTGTATTCAAACTTATTCAATGTCAGTAAGTTTTGTCATTCATGTACACCAGTTCCTAGCGCAAATAATTTATGAATGAGGTGACCAACTGAAGAAAAGAGAATGTCAGAAATTTTGTATTTATATTTAGCACCATGGAGGTATATGTATTGTATTCCATAACAATGCCTTTTTTTAAAAAAAATATTTATAAGTGTCTTATATTATCATGATGAATACCATGAGCAACTTAACTAGGAGTGAATTTCAGGTGTAGGACTATACCTTGAGGATGAATTAACTATGTACTTTAAGGATGAATTCCAGAGGTCCCTTATGAGAGGCCCCTTCAGGATGAATTCCAAAGTTCATTTCAGGATGAATTCCAGAGGTCCCTTCAGGATGAATTCCAGAGGTACCTTTAGGATGAATTCCAGAGGCCCCTTCAGGATGAATTCCAGAGGTACCTTTAGGATGAATTCCACGGGTGTCTCACTTCAATGCACCTAATTATCCTTCTAAGAAGCCTGTATAACCAATCATGAAGCTAAAAGAAGTTGCTTTTTGTCCAAAACATTTGCAACAGCAAAGGTGTTCATTGGGGATGAATTCAAGGGATAGTAGTACCTTAAAGATGAATTCCAGGAGTACCTTAAGAATGAAATCCATAAATACATAAATCAAAGTTGAATTCAGGGTGTACCTTTAGGATGAATTACAGGGGTGCCTAGTTTGAATGTACATCATTATCCTTCTAAGAAGACAATCACGAAGCCAAAATATTAAAGAACTGGCTTCTTTTGACTAGTAAAATGTTTGCAACTGTTTCAGATATATCACCTTTGTGACTATACCTGAACAAAAAAAGACTTTCACAGCACTTTCAAGGTAAATTGTTCAAACGTGAAAGCTTATGTGTAAAACACCAGGTCTAATACTAAATATTTTTATAAATGGTTAACTTTCAACGATACTTCAGAGATTGAGGTACTATTGTTGTAGATTTAGTCTTCAGGTATATACAGATCGATATTACATTGGAAAAAATTCTTTTAAATCAGTATTACCTTATTATTATGGTCATGTGGGGGAGGGGGGTCCAGAATCTCAAAATTCAAAAATACGACAAGCCAATATACGCTAAAATATATATTTTTTTATTAGGGATGTCAAAATATTAATTTTCCTTAGTCGAACATTCGATTGCATTATTCGAACGATAGTCGACTATTCGGAGCATTTTTTTTTAATAGCAAGGTGTTTTTGAAAGCTTATTAAGTAAAATAAATTGAAAATTGGAAAAAAGGGGAATTGTAAAGACACACTATCCACACCTCCGACGATATTGTTAAATACTGTTTGTTCAATCAATGATTGCCCAAGCTATCAAAATGTCTTTTATATAGGATTATTGTTTTAATAATTATCGAAGTTTGAAAACTTTAAGGCTATG